AAGGAAGGAAGGAAGGAAGGAAGGAAGGAAGGAAGGAAGGAAGGAAGTCTTTTCTTTGGTGAGGCAGAGTGAAACTTTCCATGCTGTTGAGTATTCTGTTGAGTATTCCAAAGTAGTGCCATCCATTTTGTTAGAGTATCAACTTTGTTTTTTAAGGGAGCAGAGTTTGTGTTAACAGATGAATAATTTTCCTGGTTTTCCTTTTCCCCTTTAAAAAAAGTGCTATATCCAATAATGTAGCTTCCAGTTTCACCTAAAAGGCCATTTCCCAAAAATACATTAAATATTTATGATAAGCAACAGACTGAAAATTCTAAAATGCAACTCATTCTTGGAGGCATACCAATTTAAATCACTCTGGGATGTAGTCTTTAAAAAATAATCACTTTAAAATAAATTAAAATAAATTAAAATAAAATAAAAATAATTTAAAATAAATTGCTTCCTCTATTTAGAATAATCTTCAGGTATAGAAACAAAAGAAAAAAATTGGTCCAAGTGTAATACAGATGGAGGAATTGCTTCAGTTTGTGCATGAAATAAAGAGTAAAAAAGTGTCTCAGCTCTTTGCCCCTTGTTCTTTTACATTAATGTGTCAGTTATTTCTCAGGTTAGCATTCCCTTTTTGGTGTATTTATGTGCCCATTTTCATTTCTAATAAACCAGTCTTCACTAGCAGTCATGCCTGGAATTGCTAAAAACGTAATTGTACTGCCAATGACATGGCAATTCACCCCTAGTTGGATTCCCACTCTCCTATCCTTTCTTCTTACAGTCTTGCTTTCTTAAATGTGTGTTTCAGTAAATTTATTTTCTATTAACTACCTGCTATGAAACATTATGAGTTTTTTTAGGAACCTTAAAACAATATTTATGAAAGCTAAAACAATATTTATGAAAGCTAACTATATTACATGAAATAATTCCTTAATGTACTCTTTAAAACTTTTTTAAAAGGTATAATTATTTTACAGTAAAAAGAGGAAATATTAATATGTTGACAATGTTTTTAGAATGCAGTATGATTTAATGATAATGCTGATAACAGATATAATTGTGACCTCTCTTTAGCAGATCTCTGGATTTAAAATATTTTTTTGTTTTGTGCAAAAACATGCTTTACCCTGATTAGGTTTTACTTCAAAATTCCATTCCATAATTACCACTTTACTGTAGTAAACCAATTTATCATTTCCAGATCTTTTAATGACAGATTGTTTCAAGACTGAATTGATGAACAAACTAATTGGTCTGAGCAGATTTTACTTCATTGTGCTTTATTTAAAAGACAACTGACTAGTTTGGGAAGAGCTAATTGGAAAGTACATAGGATTGAATTCATTGAGCATTGAATGCTGAAATGTTGTGATTTCTGCATGTGATAGGGGTTTACATGCCTTGGAAAGGGGTTTAATTATATCTTTATTCTGCTTCCATGACTTGCTTTTGCTTATGTTTCTTATCTGCAGTGTTGTCTTGTATTTTCTCTTTCTTATTCTTTCTTTCGTAAATTTAGATAATTAGGTCCTAAAAGGGTAAAATCATGCATTTCATGTACTGTTTTACAAACCAGAAAACATTATCCTAAGGGTTGAAATGCAGGGTTTTGTTTTTGCTTTTGTTTTGGTCTGCCCACCATTATCTTCGAAAGAATGGTTTAAAAAAAACCATAAATCATGTCAATCTTTCCCTATATATACAGACACACCTTAAATGATACTGTTAATTCTATACTGTTCAAACAAAGCAAATGAAATGTTTAGATAGAAAACATAGGATATTCCTTTATTAAACCAATAAGGATCTCTTTAGATTGCCTGAATTTTTAGCTGCTAAAGGGTACTAATCATTAATAGCACAATTATGTGCCTTTCCTCTCAGTAAGTGCCTTTCTGACTGCAACATTACATCTATAACATGACTTCTTTAATTTCTTATATTGGGAAACTGAAATCTGATCTGATGTCAAAGTTCATGACTTGGAGCAACATGGAGGAAAACAGTAGTAGCAAAAACCAGTATGTGACAAAAACAACAACAACAACAACAAAATTCAGGGTATTAGAAAAATAAGTTTCCTTAAGTATTCTTAAGAGGAAATCAGTGAGGAAAGAGACTGTCTTCTTCCTCCAATTGATGAAACTGACCTGGAGAACAGCTAGTTAGATTTGGTTAAAGAAGTCTAGACTCTAGAAGATGGAGAAGTAGCCAATTGGCTTTGTCTGTGTGAAATACTTATAACTAACAATCAAAACACTTCATTTTTTCAGAAACCAGCCAGCAGTGTTAAGAATGAAATACTGAAGCAATAGATGAAGGAACAGGAAAGATACCTGGAAAATAATATGCAGAAATTTAAGAAAGAGAACCCATGGAACACAGAGGAAATTTGTAATAATCAGCAAAGATAGAGAAAACTGTTTTGAGACATAGGCAAGGACAAACATAATAAAGGCAGTAAGTAGGATCAGACTCTTACAGTGACAGATCCTATTATTGAGTCCCTGTAGTCATTCAGTTCCTTGATGGAGGGCTTCTTTGGCACTGGGATGATAGTAGAGCATTTGAAGCAGGAAGGAACATAGCACATCTCTAGTGATCTATTGAAGATTCGGGTGAATATGGGGGCCAATTGGTCAGCACAGACTTTTAAGTAAGAAGGAGTTATCTTGTCTGGCCCTGGTGCTTTTCCTGGCTTTTGTCTGTGAAATAGATCTTGCACTTCTTTTTCTGTGATCACCCGAGGTTGTGAACCCAATGGGTTGTGGCCAGTTGTAGGAGGCTTGACTGTTGTTGGTGTGTTTGAGATGGGGGTTGTGGAGATAAGTGGCTGTAGTTTCCTTTCAAACCTGCAGTAAAACACATTCAGGCCATCTGCTAGTTGTTGATTTCCTTCTGCCTGGGAAGGAGGTTTGCTGTAGCCAGTGATGTATTGGAAGTATAAGGAAAAACTAACTGTATAAAGTAATAGAACATGCTTGGAATTTTGTTAAGAGTTCAATTACATGGAACAGGAAGTTAGATACAGTGAAATAAGCTTAATTTCTCTGTCGTTTGGGATCATCGTTAAAGCTATTGTGCCTCAGTCAAAAGACAAAAATAAATATGTTATTGCCAGCATTACACTGTCTCTCCCATCATTTTTATTTGGTTTACTAAAATGAATAAAGCACACTTTCCCATGGGAAAAATTGGTGGGGTTCAGATATGTTCAGTCTAAAAGTAAATACTTCTATAAAAAAGGGCAGGACTTTGATTGCATGATTGGGGACACCCAATCATGATCCTCTCCCTATGAACACTTCTGGTGGAGTTCAAACATTCTACTAAGCCAGGGGTGTCAAACTCATGTTGTCATGGCATTGTTATGTGATGTATTGGCACTTTCCCCCCCTTTGCTATACTGGGCGTGGGCATGGCCAGTGTGTGATTCATCCAGCCCATGGGCTGGGAGTTTAACAAAGCGGTTTACAGAGTCATCCTATTTCCCCCAACAATTTGGGTCCTCATTTTACCCACCTTGGAAGGATGAAGGCTGAATCAACTTTCAGCCTGGTGGGATTCAATTTGCCAAATTGCAGGAGGAGTAGCTTACAGTACTGCACTCTAATCACTGCGCCACCAAGGCTCTACAATAGTGTAGCTTGGCTTTTTAAAACCTAATTGTATTATATTTATGGATACTGATAGGGTATCCTCCTCATGGTCCAACTTGGTAGCAGCCCCTAAACACCCATCTCTGATCTTAAAAAGTTAAAGAGGTTTCTGGTTGGATGGCAGACTATTAGGAAACATTAAAGTTGTAGGCTAGACTGGGCAATTTAAAAAAAATCCTGGAAGAAAGTAGAAGCAGTTGCTGATTTTGACTTCAGGTAGACATTCTTTTGGCATTTTTACCTGCACTTTGGAAAGCAAGTAGCCTACTTTTCACCAATAGGAATTTCGTTATAAACCAAATGCAATAATTTCTTGCCATTTAAAAGTGTTTCCTGTTAAATACACCTCTCTGGGCTTGTATTATGCAGACTGCATTCACACGTGGTGCTAATTCATAGATGGCGTTGCTTGATACATGTTCTTTTGTTTAGAGCAGAGCTTTTCAATCTTGGCAACTTTATTGGACGTTTAACTCCCAGAATTGTATAGCCAACTACTGTGGCTGATTTAATAAATCCTAATTTAATTTGATGTGAAATCTATCAAGTTACTTGATAAAGGGATATTTTTAATTTTAATTTAATCCTTAAAATGGGGGGGGGGGGGAACCACACAAAAATCCCTAAGACAAATACTTAAAGCAAAACATTTTGCAAGTCTGCTACAGGTGGTCTTTGAGTTATAACCTCAAATGGGACCAGAATTTCTGTTAAGTGACTCATGCCCAATTTTACATTTTTTTGCTATGAATCGGTGTAATTGAATCACTCACAGTGATTAAGTGAATCCAGCTTCCCTCATTAAATTTGCTTGTCGGAAACTGGGAAGGGGATAAATGGCGATCATGTGACTTCTGGAACTCCACAATCATCATATATAAATGCCAGTTGCCAAGTGCCCAACTTGTGATCATGTGACCATATGTCATGTGACATATGAGGGCTAGTCATGTCACTTTTTTCAATACCATTGTAAGTTCGAACAACTGCTAAACAAATGGTTGTAAGTTGAGGACTACTTGTTTCACAAAAGCAGCTGTAGCTTCTTATTTGACCAAAAGTTTCCATCTACCAACCTCACCTGTTTTCTTAAGGCCCATTGTTTCCCTTCAGCAGGGAAAGCCTCATGCAGCTGCTTTACCACAAAAAGAACCAGGATGTCCATGCCAGTGCTGGCCCAGCTTTTCAATCTGCTGCTGCCACAGGCAGGGTTTTAATTCTATTGATTTTGACCTGCTGTAATAGATTGCGCTCTGTATTTTAATTTTATAGCTTGAAACCCAATTGAGCAGAAAAATTAAAATCGGGAGAACATACATTGCTTAATTTTTCCATGAATTGAGGAAGGAGAATGTCTTCACAAAAACTCTTTAATCCACAAAATCATAATTGTTTTTTTTTTTTTTAATGTTTACCAGTCTTCAGGCTCTTTTCTTGTAATGGAGTAACAAATCCATTTTGAATAATTTCCAAGACAAAAGCAAATGTTGGGTTTTGGAAGTTTGGTGTTCTTGAGTTTTCCAGGCAATGTTTGATACTTTTAAGGATACAGAGAAAGGCACTATGATTCATATGGGACAGATGGTAGTCCTATTCAAACACGTTTTCAGGCTATATTTAATTCAGTGAGAACTGGCTGCTGCTAACCTATTCTCTCTTGATATTCAACACATCCTGAATTACTCAAGCTGTACAAAGTCATTGGCATGACAATCAGCTTAGGAGAAATTAGTGTCATTTCCTATTAATGTAGGTGTACCAATACTTATACTCTGTGTCATCACTTACCATTCAGTTATCCTTTGAATTGGAAGGAATGCATCTCTCAGGGAAATAGATATTCAGGAATATCAGCTACACTAGGCAGCAGTATCTGGTATCAGTAGGTATGCCACACACTTAGCCTAATGTTATATGCACTTTATTTCAGAGTCTTTGTAGCTCCCCAATACTCTATCTTGGACATGTACAACAAAATAACTATCAAGAATTTTTTAAAAATCTCAGAATTAATAAAAAATACCCTGCATGGGCACCCAAATCCTTACATTTGGATTAAAAGCACAACAAAAAATGGCATATTATCAGCTTGACAAAATGCCAGGAAGGGATAGGGAAAAACTTGGTGGAACCACTGCCATCATGCTAAAGATTCTTGAGATGGTTATATTGGCTTATTTATTGCCTATGCTAGACTCCCTTTAACATCTCTCACTTAAATTTTTGTCCCAGTTACTTCAATAAGGAAGTTGCAACGGTAGGTATTTTAGTGATATGCACTGCAGAACAGCATCTTTTTAACATGTATCAAACAAGAGAATAAGGAATTTCTTTCAAGATCTCCATAATGAATACTGGCTAAGTGTCCTAGGTTCTAGGAGACTGCAGACTCAAGCAGGATCCAGGGTACTCTATTGGAAATGACTTTTTATTGCAAATGTAAAGTATATGAAATACGTCTTGCTTTGAATCAAAAAGTATCTCTTACTTGTAATTGTATTATTCTTCACCCTTTGCTCTTACCTATCATCACCATGATCATCTAACCTCTACCATGTTCCTATACAGCATTCCTATTTTATGCTGCTATTCTATCATCTATCACCGATTTCTCATTCCCTTATTTCTATTTTTCAATCAATGATCCTATTGTTTCTGCTCATTTACTAATGTCTACATTTCTTTTTCCTTAATCTTTATCTGAATGCCATTTATACAGATGTGTCTGTCTCTCAATTATTCTCTTCTTTTATCTTTCTTCAGCTCCCATTTACTCTGTCAGTAGCAGCTTGGCACAATTGCATCTTTGCAACTACATCAGATTTTAGTAGCAGGACAGCACCTGAACTCTAGAGTCCGGGACTCTGCTTTCTCTTTTTGCTGGTTCCTTTCTACAGTTTTCTTCGGCATAAGCTGCCTCAGGGACTTTCTTGGCCCTTCTCCCTAGCCATGGACTGTCTTGGTTTCTGGCTGTTGCCTCCTCTGCTCCATGCCTTGTCCTCTTGCCTGCTACTCCAGCAACAGCTTCTGCCAGACCTAGAAGCCGCCTCCTTCTGCTACCTGCTGTGGTTTCTTTTATACAGTTGTTCTTCCTTTGGAGACCTATATATCAGCTTGCAGGTTTTAAATTCAACTCCACCCAACACCTCTTTGTAAGTGCCTAACACAGCATCGGAAAAAAAAACCTTTTACAGCACATATAACATTTATGTTTCAGAACAGTTCGTCCTTCCAGAGTATAACCTTCTGCTAATATGCAAATGATTTTGCAGAAATATCTGTTCCTAACTTCATTTTGGTAATGTTTTATTTTGTCTAGTCAGTCTATAAATTGAAGCAAATAAAACGTGATACCACTAGGCCTCTGTAAGAATTTAGATAGGTATAGAAAATGCAGTTTTATCTTTTTGACTTTTTTTTACTCAATCTAGGAATAAAAATGTCAAGAAAGCCCTCTCAGTTGATAAATCTGTACTTATCTTTGACTTGCTGATCCAAGTATTTATTCCATATTAGGGGTAAGATCAGTGTAGAATTTAAATGAGTGAATTTATAAAATATTAACCTTGGTAAGGTTTTCATTGTGTAAACATTACCTGTTGGGAAAGGGAGATATAATTTGCCACATGTTCAGCTTTATTGTTTAGCCTTTGTTTTAGCTTGTTACTGGTTCAAAGGTTTTCAGAATTCAATCCTTCTGTATGCTCAATTTGAAAGTTATTGACTTTACATATAATGGAAAATATTGAATTATTTGTTCTGTCCATCTATTTTAATGCCTGCACTTAATATTGCAACATATATAGTGTATGGGAAATAATGGGTTGCAGGTTATTTTACCACTGGAAAAGCTTACAATACAAGCTTACTCTAAAATAATAGGTTAATGTGAGATCTTTAAGGTAAATTTGATCTTCAGAACATTGTGAATTTATAAAAATTATAACTTGTGTTTTCATAAATCAACTTAATCTTATCTGTCCCATTTTAATCCTGATGCTTTTAAGTTCCATAGCTGCTATTGGCTTTGGAAAAAGTTTCATTCTAAAATGGTAATCCCTACGTTTACAAGAAACTAATGAACACTAAAATTTGTATTTATTTTTGTGTACAGTGGATCACTGTATGTCATTATGTGTGACTGAATTCATCTTTTTCTGACAAAGGGAGAAGGGAAAGGGTTTTTAGCAGCAATTTAGTTGTTTTCCCACTAAATTCCCACTAAAACCATATTCAGAGAAATTAATACTAATTTTTGAAAATGAAGTTGACGTGTCATTTGGGGAAGATGGGGTTAAGTATCATAATAAGTAACAATTAGCTTGATATAGTCTGTAATTCAGATCCATTTAATAAAAACAGAACAAAGATTTCCATTTGCAGTCAAATAGGGTATTCATCAGAATAAACTTTTGAAGAGAAACAAGTAAAACTTGAGATGATTTTTCCTTTCTTTATACACAGCTGTATGTTTATGACACATAATAATCAATATAGGAAGGAAATATTTGGTTAAAATATCATACTTACTAGTCAATACTATCTTAGTATTGTTAGATTTAGAATTTTGTAATCCATCCAAATCAATGTGATTAAAAAGATAGTGGATCCTTCTGAAAGTGTTCTGAAAACAATAAAACAATTTGTTGGTTCAAAAGATAAGAGGAAGAGGAGGGAAAAAGAATTGCTATTAATTTTAAGTGGCTGTAGGCAAAATAATTATATGTATATTGAAGTACAATACCTATAGGGTATTGTCTGTAGCACAGACCGATTTTGCTAAAAGATAATCAGTGAAATCAAGAGATCAGATCTGTCTTTAGTGTAGCAATACAAGATGGTTGAACATAAAATTGAGACAGATAGCTTGGAATGTAACAATTTATTGGGGTAATCTCTTCTTAATTCCCCAGTTCTGGCATTGATACAATATTCAAGAGCAACAGAAAGAACAAATGTACAAGGATACAAGAATAATTAGCATAACTTCCCCGCACTGCAAACTCGAAGCAACCCCCTTCTCTAATAAAAATGTCAATGGGTGATTAAATCACCCACTGTGTAATGCTTCCCAGCCATCCACTCTAGACAGTTTAGCCAGTTGAGCACTGGATTTTAAAAAGCAACCAAGCAAATGCAAACACTATATTTAAAAAGTAATTAAGACAACATAGTATTAGATAACATTTAATTCGTGTACAACTGTTTCATTAAATGCATTTTTATCATAATACAAAATAGTCACCAGATATATAGCTCTTGTTTTTAAAGCCTATTTGTATGCCAAGAGATAAGAACTTAATAAATTTAAACTTTAGCTTACTCTTCACCATAAGGTCTCAACTTTGTAAAAACTAAATGCCCAAGCTTATGTAGATTCACTCAAATATCTGAGTATTTGTAAGGCTCACATTAATACTCTAAACAAGTTACAAAACTCTTATGTGTTATTAAGGACCACAAATCCATTAATTCTCTTGGAGATTTCACTGTACCTGAGCATCTGTTTTGGCAAGATTGAGACCTGGTCTTGAGAAACCTAACAATGTATGCAATAAAGGAATAAGCACCAATTCTATGCCTCCCTGTAATTGTTCATGTGAAAGTATGAGATTTTCCTTGAATAAAAATAGTACGACATATTGTGAAATTTGAATATAGCATTCAGGATTTTAGAAGGAATAAAACATCAGGAACTTCACTAGAGCTACTGTTAGCTCTATTAATATCTATGTGGCAGCACTAAGATTATGAAGCAAATCTGATGTACTTAGTTTGTCCCCCTTGAAAATACTTACATATTTTCACATCATTTTATTCCTGCTTTTTTTGCATTTCAGGTCCTGTAAACTCTTGGATTTAAAATTATTAAAGCTTGCACTATTCAGATTCATTTTCAAAAAAGTATTTTGGAGAACATGTGAGTGAAAACATAATCTCTCTCTCTACAGATCTTTAAAGAACCAGTACATCACTGAGATGATATGGCTGCTTTAAAGAAATACAGGGAAGTGCTACATTCCTGCTCTTATATGCTCCAAAAGGCCTTTTTGGAATTGAACTGGAGTGATGCAGCTATAACAACTTCTTAGTTATCTACCTTATTGCTGATAAGGTCCTATAAACACCACAGGACTGTCTCCCATTACTAACTGCAGCCTGCAAGAACAGATACAGATAATTGTAATATTGGCTTGGTAGAACAGTGATAATGCAGCAGAACCAGGGAGTGCTTTCCTGACAATGAAATATGAAACATGGAAAATTTCCTATTTGTTGAAGTGCCTTAAACTATAACAAAACAAGTAAATACATATAACTATTTCCAAATGCTGCAAAATTAAAGAATCTTATCAGGCTCTCTTATTGTCTTCTGAATAATAAATACTCGCTGCTACAAGTCATTCCTATAAGTAGGAACAGTTAATTATCTGACAGACACAATCAATCACTAGGGAATGGGGAAGCATTCTTAGATAAAGGGGAATCCTTTAACATGGCACAAAATGTTTGCCAATATGATAATGCAGAGTTTAAATTATGTGCTTACAATATTTTTAAGTGCTATATAAACCAGGGACCAGGTTTTTCGTGATTCTAAATGAACTGAATGAATTCAATCATAGGAAACATTTACAATAATCTCCCAAGCAGCTTCACCTCTAAACAATAATTTACTGTTCACTGCAAAAATTAAATTCATTTTAAAAAACTGTATACTCCTTTGTTTCCTCCTACTTCTCTGCCTTGCCTATTCATATAATACTAGATGTGGTCTCTTTCTCCTAAAGTACTTTTTCTGGTAAGTACTGTAAGTAAAACTGCACTGCAGCTGTCTTCCATCTTCACAAGCAAAGAATGTGATGCCTATTCAGATGTTCTCGGCAGCCCTAATGAGGCAAGTGCCAGATAAGGGCCACTGATTAAAAAATTACCAGATTCAGGAACCAGATATCTCTGGGGCATGTGTCTTCCTTGTCAACATTTTAACTGTGATATTTAGAAAAAATTACGTACAGGGAAAATTTATCTACCCTAATGAAGAATAAAGAGTGCAACCAGGTAAATCCCAAAGGATTTATCTGAGCACTAGAATTTTTGTACTTAAATGAACAATTGCTATCACTAACTGTAGGAAAAAATGGCTTTTCAGATGTTGTTGGACTACAACTCTCTACAGGACTGATAATGAAGATACTATAAGTTACATCTGTCAATCTCGAGAAATTTAGCTTTCCTAATACCATAACTATTACATGTTCATGTTATACACTAACTGAGATAGCATTGGTTTTATTCAGCAATTATTTTTCCTTAACAACTAGGCCTTATGCATTTCAATGATCTTATGTGCATGCATGTGTACATATGCATTCATAGAACACTTATACGTATGTATGAATGAAATTTCACAAAAAACCAATCTAGATCTTGCAGGATTTTAAGTTATACAAATTAAGAACAATTGCATATAATTATAACGAACAGGGGTTTGAAACACCGAGTTTCAAGTTCACAAGAGTTGTTTCAACTTTAACATGATTTTTTCAAGAATTATTTTGAGCTCGAAACCATTCAAATTGAAACCATTCAGATAAATCTTGAGTATCAAAGAGCTCACGCTGATTTCAAAATACCTCTGGAATGGTCAGAATTGTTTCATACTTAAAATATTTTAAATTTGAAACCTTGTGCACCCTCCCTAAAATAATACACGATACTGAAAATATGTTATCATTACTCAGAATTCTGCTAAGAACTAATTTTGACATTTTTTTCCATCAAGCTTTGCTTACAGTTAGCAATCATTTAAAAAGGAATATAAACAATCCAATATTTTTAGATGTTGAATATCAATTGTACAATTTACCAATTGTAAAATACCAAACTTGGGGAAGGTTCTGATTCTATATCAGTATTAAGTCTGGATACATAGATGCAGGATAGCTTCATCTACCTTTGAGTTTTAGAAGTTCCCTCAAAGTATATAGTACAAAAAATATTCAGAACTTGGTTATAAGCAAAGCAACATACAAATTATATTGGGAAGCATGTAGCTTAACAGCAACATATTTTGCATGGAATGGAAGCTTGAGCTCAATTTCAAGCATCACCTATTGAAATCTCTCTGTCTCACAGAGATCATGCCCATAAGTATAATCAGTACTCAACCAGACTGAATAAACAGCTAACACCAGTGTAAGGCAGTTTCATGTTTTTCACATCATTTACTCATTCAGAAGTAACACTGATAAATAATCTTTAAGCCAATAAAAAAACAGATCATGCATAGGTCAGATTAGAGATTGTATTACGTTGAAAAAAAAGCCATGTGGGGAAGGAGAATCCCAAACTTCATCACTCAGGATTCTCAATGTGTAAGTTAAGTGAAAGCTAATATTTAATTAGGGAAATATTAAAGGGAAATATAAATATTCAGAAGTGTTTATAAGCACTGAGAACAGCAAGTTTCTCCTCTTCCTCTAAAAACCAATTTCAGCTAGAGAAAAAGGAGATCTCAAAAATAAAATTAAACAGCTTATAAATCACAGCATTCTTTCAGACCACAACTAGCTATTCCTAGTTCTCAAAATTATGGTCACACTACTGGCCCAAGCTGTCTTTGTTATCACAAAGCATGGTGAAGGGTTAAGTGGAGGATTATTTATTTATATATACATAGTACATATACTTATACTTATACTGAAAATATCCCAACTTTGTACTATCAGGAGACAGTCAAAAAAGCAGCAAAGCAAGCAACACTGGAACGTGAATGCACCAGGGAAAACAGTGCAAAGCCTTGGGGCAAGAAGCAAGGAGTGCGAATAGAGACACACCTGACCAACTAGAAATACATTCCAAATCTATTACATTACTCTACCCATGACCCAACAGGAATTCTAGAACTGTTGCATCCCAACAGTTTCCAATTTACTGCATAAACTTAATTCCCCAACAGGGGCAATTTGTGAATTCTCTTCACTATCTTGTTTTCTCCTCCATATCAATTATCCAAATCTAGGCTCTATAGAAGGTGGACAGCAGGAAATGCAGCAAAGAAATCACATTTCTTCTAAACAGAAAAAGAGAAATCTCACACTGACACTTAAGTCATCCCTTTTAAATAGAAATTAAAATAGAGGGATTATTTATTTCAGACAATTTATATAGTCACCCACCTCACAAGCAGCAGTTCTGGGCAGCTAAGATTATTTTAAAAATCAATTAAAAACAACCAATTACAATAGTATACACAGAGAAATAATCTTCAAATGGGCAGGATTGAGTTATTGAGCAACAAAAGAAATTATCCCCTTGAGAAGGATCCACAGAATCTGAAGAGTGGCTTATTGTTGCCATACTTTAATCTTTCACAGCCCATTTCATGTATCAAGCCAACCAACAACTCAAGGCTATGCTGTGGTTGGATTTATCTCCGGAATGTATCTGGGAACACTCAGGAGTATGAATATAACATCTGTCTGCAACATCATAAAGTGGCTGTGTCTTTTCCCAAGATCACGAGAGCTGCCACATGATACTGAGAAAGCTACTTTAAGGAGACACAGAAAGTTCTACGTGCTGCATAGCTGTAGAAGCATTCCCTTCTCTAGTCTTAAGCTCTCCAAATAGGTTGAATTACAAGCCTTCTCAACGTTAAGAGTGTGGTCTTATCTATCCAGAGGGTATAAGAAAGTCTGATTAGTATGGAGTGAAATAGTAACCTCAGTGAGCAAAAATATCATAGTTCAACCTGTAAAAATAGCTGAAAAGCTTTTCTAAGAGTGAATAGATGAAAAATAGTTATCTGTAAAATATAGGTTCATTAGGGAGCAGTAGTTTGTTTCCTTGGGAATACATCTAATATTTCTTTTTAAGTAGATTTCAGTTTTCCATTAACTCTTGTTGCAGGTAATGAGACATTCAAAATTAAGAGCCAAAACAAAAATGCAAATTTCCATGCAAGCAAAACGATCAAAATTATAATACTATAGCACTACACTAGAACAGCTATTCTTCCCCATTCTTGTCCAATGCCTGCCTTATAATTTCTACATCAATGATCTGATCTGTATTTGCCCATATGACTAACATGGTATTCACACATTTAGATTGCATGGACTGTAATAAGAAATCTAATATAGGCATTACTGTTACACTGCCATTAGGTTGTGTGAATTCTTTCCTAGCACTTGTTCACACTCAGCTTCTACAATCAGCACTTCACAGGTGATTTTTATGGATAACATAAATATACAATTACCATCTTGGGCAATTGTGAATTTACATCATATTACCCTTTCATTATATATCTTCCTTCAATATTTTAACAGTATATTTCATTTGCAAGGCTACACTTACTTTTTTCATCTCATTTTCCTTATGTTTCACAATGAATATAATCACCATGGCCCAAGCCATCAGAATTAGTTTAGTGCAGTTTTTCCCATGTTGTGGTTCTTCAGACTGTAACTACTGACTGACAGGGAATTTTGGGAGTTGCAATTCCAACGCATTTGGACTGTGCCAATGTTGGGAAAATTGCTTTAGTTTTTGCTTTCTTCAAGAAGGCCCTGATCATATCTCTTAATGTAGGAGAGCTACATATTGCCCACTTGTAAAAATCTTGGTTATACAAGTATGAAAGATGTATTTGGTTAGAAAAAGTATTTCTGGTATACCAACTTCAGTATGAATGAACTGGCTTTATCACTGAACATTTTGCCAGATTATAAGGGTATGTTTCCTTCACAGCTACCAAACACACATACATCTTGCTTGTCAGAGATCCCAGATCTTACTGAAAACCACAAAGCAGCAACATGTCCCATTCAATTCAGCAGATCATCATGAAGTACAACTGATAACTTGCATGAACAAGTTAATAATAAAATGCCACATAGTCCCGCCTGACAAACAGAACAAGGCTAAATTCTGGCTTCATAACTATGGAAGGAGGCATTCTCCCTACTCCTTCAAGTTAAGGGTGGCAGAAGGAAGAATTTTCTCTAAGATAAGGATTTGCTTCCTCAGTTTAGAAGCTGCATCTCTTCTTACATTCTTTGCTCTTCCTTCCCAATTTAAATTATCTGAATGCCTTCCTCTACCACTCACAATTGTAAAAATACTCTTTTCTTAAAGGACCAGCTAATATCACTACATTTGTGCAATTACTGCATTTAATATTTTTAAATCTCTATCCTCCTCTGTCTGTAAAAATCTTAAAAAGAACTTTTCCTTTTTTCTATTTTTTTCCTTTTATTTGCAAAACTAGTCTTCTTTCTCAACCCCCACCCCATCAAACTCTCCTAATAACAAAAGTGGCCACAAGCATGGCAAAGATACAAAGAAAACCGATACATACAACTCACATGGCATCTTTGCACAGACTGTACGCATAGAAGGGCTTTTATGCTTTATGATATAAGGAGAAATTAAGATTCAAGGTAATAAACAAAGCTCAAATCATTAAAACACAATAGCTCTATATTACCCTCTAGTGGTTTGACTCCATCATGAAACAAGGTTTCATTTTAACAGAAAAGATCAACACAATTTGCTTTCATAGAGCATGTGCCAAGGAAGGGAAAAATGATCTAAGGCAAGAACAATCTTGCATTCCAGTATTACACATAACTGGTCTACCCCTGCCCTTAAAGGAGATGATTCTTTCTGATGTGAAGAAATTTTCTAGCTCCTGGGAGACAGGCAAGAGCAACTTGGCTGGTATGTTACAGAACCCCTCAAATTAATGAGAAGCTGCTAGGAGGCTATTTATCCTCCTTTTATTTTGTCCAAACAGCAGGCATTTCTTTGCATCAAATTGGCTCAAATCCCTTATATCTCTGTGAATTAATTACTCTAACTCACAACCTTAGCCCGTTCTTAAAATAGCCTGCTGGTTGTAATCAGATAGAAGAGATAATAGCAATACAACCAACAATTAGCACCATATTCTGTTTTACCAGACTGGCTCAATAGCAACCTGCCAGATATTTCTTACTCAAACACCACTTGTTTAAATATTTTTGGCTAAATCTCCAGTGATCAGCACAAGCAATGCAAAACTAGACAAATCTACTAACTGCAAATGCTACTACTCCAAATGGATTTAAGGAATCCTACAGTGAAGGAGCGCGCAATTTTCATTAACTCAAGAGTTACATCAGATGTAACATGTGACATACAGAAATGGGAAAGGCTAGGCTCCATTTGAGAGGTGGGGCTCAGGAGTACAGTAGGTGCTACATTAGTTTGTTGAGTTTTAAAACAATCATTGCATTCCTTAAAACACCATGAAGGAAAAAAGGCCCAAATTTTTAGCCCAAGAGATGCTGGAGGGCCACAGGCAGCTTTTGGACCATAATTTTTCTACCCCAATTTACTGCTTTTCATTTTTAAACACTTGCTACAGTGGCAATTATAGCAGTCTAGGAATTGCTATTCAAGCAACCTGTGATAAGTCCTAGAAATTTCAGCCTTTGACTTTTCCTCAAGCACCTTTCATGTGGAAAAAAAAATTCCTTATTTATTTTCCATGTATCATAGTAAAGAACAAAAGTGTGTGGAGTAAATTTTATGCCTTAAGAGGCAGTAAACATGTACATGTTAGTTTTAAGCAGATATACCTCCTCAGCAAGTATTTAGTGCACAAATTGTATACCCAATATCTTCATGTTAAAATGGTCATAAAAGAGGAAGGAGAAATTATTTAATTTCCTCCTTTCATTTTCTCCAGGCACACACTCCACTATTTCTAGTAGTTGATCTTTCGGGATGGAATAAAATCAAACAAAACCTGTTTGATGCATTTGGAGGAGCTTTTTGTTGAAATCAGCCAGTTTGTTAATGACTATTTTTTCATAATACCTCTAAAAAAAGGTAAAAACCATATTCTATGGACACTCCCAGAAATTAAAGTGACAAGAGACTCCAGGGAACAAGGGGAAATCGGCCGAGATTGTGTGCTAAAGTATCTGAAGAGTTTCCTATTGAAATTCCTGTTTACAATGGCTATCTAATTTGTTTCTAACAAAATGCCACAAAAATAAACAATTGTAGAACATGATTGACTATTCAACCACCCTTATATTTCCTTTTGAAGTTTCATAAAATATTTCTATTTTTTCCTCTTAAAATCTTTTTAATACAAGTCTCCCTGTGCTCTCCCTATTATATATCTCTATCCTCATCCCAGCCCACCCACCTTTGAAGCCATCAAAATAAACTCTCATGATAATGCCTCCCATTCTTCTGAGGCAATACAATGATACAACTTGTCTTACTGACTTCGCAAAAAATTACAAACAGTGAATTCCAAAGCATACATTTGTGGAACATCAGAAAGCCTTGGAGTTATATATCAGTGGGAGGAGCATGGAGGTAATAACCCTGCACACTTTGTAGAGTTCATTGATTAAAAAAAGATACTAAAGAGAATGGATGACTGGATAACAGTAAAACTTGAATATCTCTTCAATATTCACTGCACTCAAACTGTCACAAACAATACAATGCTTAACATCATAAACTTTGCTTTTGGTAGGCATTTATGTATAGACACTGATATTTAGGACTCTTAACACACATCAGCTCAATCTTTTTTCTAACAAAGTTCTGATTTCTTCTTAAGTATGGATATAAACAAATGGAATTCTGCAAAGTCCTTGAAGAGAAGAATGTTAAAAAGAAAACACAGGGGAAGGAAAAGTCCATCCTAATGGAGAGAATGAAATCAAATCACTATTTTTTAAAACCTTATCAATCAAGCAGTAAATGCTACAGTATTTGCAGCACCAGGTTTCACGTATATCGCTAATAAACTTTGAAAGAACAAAACCAAATGAAACAAAAAAACAACAACCCCTAAGCAGAATCTTAAAAGACAATTGTTCAGACTGGAACATAGAGAAGAGACATGCCATTAAGAACAAGAGTTAGTTATTTCAGTGACAGCATAGCATGCAGTTGAGCCCTTAAGAATCACCTCATACACATCCTTCCCATCATAATATAACAATGTATAAATAGTTTGCTGGACAACACTACATACATACATACCCACATGTGCCACTACTAACAAATTGGAGGCATAGTATAGGGGAGGAGAAGTTTGCATCAAAGCTGGAACATGTGACAAAAGAACTATGAAGTGGAAATTTGAAGAAAGTTACTTCAGTGAATGTTAGTCATCAATATATGGAGTCATTGTTCCGAACATTTGTAGGTGGTGGAGGTGGAGGCAATATAGCAAAAGCAACTACATTATTTGCTTACAAGGCAGAGTATTCAGGTTTCAATAAGAATGAATTAAATGAAAGGAAGGCATGGCGGGCAGGTGGATGGGAGGAAGAGGCAAGCACACACTAAACATACACACTGTCTCCCAACAAACATACCAAGATCCAAGAGACATATAATAAATGTTTACAATATGTTCTTAGCACCTTTGGTTGGCAACTGTACAGGCAACTTGAAAACTTGGGAACTGCAGAAACGAATGTTCTTCCATCTTTTACCGAGAGAAAAATAGAAAGAAGCAAGCACCTTTTTCCTACTTCGCTGACATATAACTAAATATACCAATGTAAATAAGTATAGTGGGTTGTATCTCAATGCACTTTTCTAAAGGAGTATTAGGCCCCACTTTTTTTGAAATAAGGTTTCAGAAAAAATAAAACTCATGCATCTAATATGTAAAGAAGAACAAATGATGCAAGATAAGATTAAAAGCTTCATAAGACTGAAGCAGCTTTAGCTTAACAGTAAAAAAAATACAAAATGTATTACAATCAGGAACTATTACAGATACAGTTCAAGGCTAATGAAAAAGGGAAAATGGGCCTAAGCCATCTACAAGTGCAACAGAACGACCTTATTTGCACTTCTAATACATGCACAGTGGAACAACATTCAGAAATGCACTGTAAGATTAGTCATATCCAATCCCTATGAAGTTCTGTAGCGGTTTCTAAGTTCTGTAGCAGTTTCCCATAACTATGGTGACATTTTCCTTGTCAATCCTAATTATCTTTGTCAAATCACAAATATACAGGAAAAGTGACAGGAATAAAGTGGCAATTCATGGAAAATAACTCATTTTGAGTTTGGCCAAAGGGTCACTTTTTTTTGTTTTTTGTTTTGAACACGAGGGGAAAATTGATCATTCACTTAATGTACCCACCATTCTCCCAAGCTCTTATTTACCAGGTTCCTGTCAAAAAGATGCACTTTTTGAAGACCTCCAAATATGCACAAAAGGAAAAAATTATTTCCCAGCATGAGTCCTAACAGCTGTGGCATTGGAGAATTTCAAACACATCTATTTCCATTCCTCTATCACCTTAACTCCCAAGCAAAATAAGAACAGATGAGAAAGGAGAGAAGAAAGCAAGCATTCATATCATGCATGGTCTTGCAGTATAGCCTCCTTGTCTCCTCCCCTCCCCCAACATTTGTGAAAGAGGAATACATCTCTTTATTTGCTGCCTCCTCCTCCTCCACCACCTCCGGCTGCTGCCACTTTTTCAAAATCTTCAGCATTGCAGAATTCCTTGATTGTGACCGTTAATAGATTGCTGGTGACATCAGTAACTACCACATTAGAGCATGGAGACATTTCAGGTCGCCAATCACTAGCCTCCTGTTCTGGGTCAGAAGACAGTGGAGATGATGGGATCTGACCTACTCCATTCCCTCTGGAAGGTGACTGCTTACTGGTCACTGCTGACTCAGGTGGAATTGACAGATCGAGGACCTCAGATTCACGCCAGTCAGGAATGGCAGGATTTAGAATCTCAGGAAGCAGCTTTGGTGGGGAATCATCTGGATCAGATGAGGAGTGTGGAGCTGGTGAGGGGCAGTCAGAGGAGCTGGAACTGCGGGCATCATAGGCAGAAGAGCCCATGAGTCCACAAGAAGCACCTTGAGAACCTCCTGCCTCTGTCTTCCCCTCTAATGATGGGGTTGGAACAGATGGCTTGTTATACAGAGGGAAGCTTCCGAATTTCATGTGGCGGATCTGATTACGAAGCATGCTCTCACTAAACTTCTTGCTCTTACCAATTACCCGATTTCGGGAAGGGATCTTAGAACGTGCCAAGTTTCCTCCCCCACTTCCTCCTTTGCCACTTTTATCAATGACTTTCAGATTGAGAATAATACGACTACGCTTGGGCTCACGAGGTTTCACTTTGCGGTTGATGATGCGTACGGTCTCTGAGAAAGGAGAGACAGGAGGGCGTAGGCCAGTGCTCCCACCCACTCCACTGTTCTGTGGATCCGGGCGGGGCAATGGGCGCCGAGACATGCGGTGGCATCTTCGGATGTCCTTCTTGAGCCGGTGCACTGCAGCACTGGAGTGCAGTTTCGGTGAGGATGTGCTAGAACTGGGCTTCACAGAAAAATGTACATCCCCAATGTGTAGGGCCTCTGCTTGGGCCCGAGCCTGCAGTAGTTGGGATAAAATGAAAAACATGGAGTTAGATTGAAATAAAATATATTCTATGTGCTGAAGTCCAGGATCCTTACAGTTGGGAATACAATTCTAAACACAAAGCCAAAAAAGATGAAGTGAAGAATGAGTTCTGGATTTCAAATACAGCTTTCCTTGTAGTTCAAAGCAGTTTTGCCTAAGCTTAGTCTAACCTAAACATGATATGGTTACACTCTATGAAATGTATTTCCATTTTTTTTTAGCATATTAGGATGTTAAGGAACACAAAGAGTCAAGGGTTTATGTTTACTAATTAAGAGTGATACTAGATAGTTAACTTTGATGCATACATTTGAGCACAGTAATACAGTACAAATTAGTTTGCCCAAATTCGAAAAAACACAAAGGTGAGGCTTATAAAATTAAGAGTTCTTAGGACAAGCGGTTTCTGTGAATATACTGTTAGCAAAAGTATCCTGACATCACTGGAGTTTTCATGCAGACCATTTTTCAGACCATCCAATCAAATCAGTGCTTGTACTTATTCACTAGAGAAGTGAGACAGGGGTAAATAAATAAATACTACTATTTATTTATTTATTTGCCATCTATCTTGCTGTGGGATTACTCTAGGCAGCCATACTAGTATTTATTTATTTGATTTATATTGCCGCCTATTCACCCATGGCGACTTGAGGCAGCTTACACAATGTAAAATCATATTTAAAACAAAAAATAAAAATAAAAACAATAAGAACTAACAAAAAGAATCAAATACATTAGTAAAGTACAATAGAACAAAATTTGGGAAAACAAAAAACAAAACAAAACAAAACAAAACCCAAAAACCAACTCCCACCCCTCACCCTGACGACAGCGGATCACACTAGCCATTTGATGGGTTCCATCCCTCTCTGGGTTCCCCAGGCCCGCTGGCAAAACCAGGTCGTAAGTGCCTTTCGGAATTTGTTGGAAACAATATCAAATTTGGATAAAAACAAGAAACAGTATTTCAAGTAAAAATATTTAACCATTAAATATAATTTATGTCATACAAAATTATTAGGAATATAGGCAATTTGCCTGTAAGATCTGGAAACTGTTTTGATTTTAATCAAGAAAAATATATTTAGACTCTTTGATTCATGGGTAACTAGCAACAGCCTATAGACAGATTAAATATGATTCTTCTAGATAGTGTCAATCATTATGATGCCTAGTCACTTGAAAATGAATCAACTGCAAAAACAAGCAATGTAATGAAATGTACTTTTCCAGGATTTGCAAAAATATTATTTCTGGTCCTAAAACATTGTAATGTACTTAGTAGCAATCATTAATCTTTTAGACACATCTTCTCTACTTAATACTATGCTACAGATTAGCATATAGAATTAAGACTGTAATGGTATCATTAATGTTCAGGTTAAATCAATTACAGGTAGTCTTCACTTAGCCACTGTTCAAAGTTATGATGGATCCCACAAAAACTAGAAAATCACCCCCCCCAAAAAAAAATCTGGCTGTGGAGTTCTAACCCTAACCCCTCCCCCTACTCCATGGTCATATAACTCCCATTTCAGGCACTTGGCAACAGGTTCACCTTTATGGCCAGTTGCAGTGTACCCTGGTCATATGACTGCAATTTATGGGTTTTGTCAGTTTCTGTCTTTTTCAGCCAGTTTCCAGCATAAAAATGCCCATAGGAATGAAAGGATTTGCTTAACAATTGTGGCATTTGCTTAAAGATGCTGTGTTCCCTTAACCACCGCTACAAAAAAATGTGTAAAATCAGGTTAGTCACATGGGTGCCTCAATTTTACAACTCTCATTATTTACTATGGAAATTCTGGGGTCAATTAGAATTGTAAATTAGAGAGGGCAAGTCTGTCAAGATCCTTTTGCAAAGCTTGTCTTCTGGGGTGTTTTCTATTCCTGCCAGCTTAGTGTCTATTCCTTCATCGAAATAATTTATGAAGATATTGAAGAATACTGGGTTGGAAACTTTTGGTACTGCACTGCTTACTTCCCTCCATACAGTGGGATAACTTGTGAATGTTCAAACATGTAGTAAAGACTTTAATTTATGCTGATCTATGACAATAAAAAACCGTTGGTTATTTATTTAAGTGATTTATAAAGCTGCCCAGCTCACAGTTGCTTAAACTAGCAGACAACGTCCTTGTAATTTTCTTGATAACATAATAATTATTTACCACTTCTACTGGCATTTTTAAAAAACTGGGGTTTTCTACTTATCTCACTTGAATGATAATAAATGATAATTCGGAGTAACTTCTTCGCTTTTTTGAAATCAAACAGCTATCACATTCAAAATAAGGCCATTTTTAAAAAAAGTCTGACAAATTAAAAATGATGGCTTATAGCCATTGGTCAGTGCCAGTTCATCACACGCATCACATTTAACAAATGACAGTTTGTCAGATTTATCAGTTAGAGACTGTATTCAACCATAATAAAGAAGACCAAATAACATTTGATTTTTTAATCTATTCCTTTCCAATTCCAGTTTTTTAATATTTAGACAACAGAACCCCAAAACTTTAATCAACCATCAAGTTATTAAACAGAAGTTACCTTTAGCAGAAAAGTTTTAGGCTTAGGTCCTCTCTTCTTAGGTCCATAAAGCTCACGCTCACGTTCCCTTGTTGAGGTGGGAAAAAGAAATTAAACTTTTTTAAACGCCCAAACATGAACAATTAAAAAGAGAACGTTCTTCTAAAATAAACAATGTTAACTTCCTGACTACAGGAAATAAATTCTCCTGCAATTCCTCCTCTGATTTTCAAGACTTTCAACTCACTTTTGCTCAAAGGCTGCAATCAAGCGAGAATCTAGGATATTTTCCTCGGGTTCCCAAGTGCTGTACCTGCACAGATTCAGACGAACAGAGCGGGTGACACGGGGTTCACTCGCATCCGAGGAGTTTGCGGGGTGGGGTGGGGTGGGGTGGGGGGGACGGGAGAGGAGACAGCAAACCGCCCACTGGCCCCGTGGGTCTGATCTCCAAGAGAGGAGGAAGGGCAGAGCGCCAGCCCGGCCAGGCCCCAAGAGGCGGGAACGGGGCTTCGCGCGGAGAGGCTGGAAGGCAGCAACTCACTTGATGGCCCAGCCTTTCCATTTCACCAGGTATTCGATGCGTCCCTGCAAAATACGTGGGCGGAAAGAAGGGAGGGTGGGTGGGTAGGAGAGCGGGAAAAGAGGGGAAAGAGAGGATAAAGGAGCGGGTTAGAGAGGGTGGCAACGGCAGCGACCCCAAGCCGAGCCCCGCCGGCCCGCAACTCACCTTTCGGATCCGCCGCTTGATGATGGATTCGGCCGCAAAGACCCGCTCGCCCACTGCAGAGAGCTCCATCTTTGCTCAGCCTCAGCAACAGCAGCACCCACAGCCCATAATAATCCCGCCCGCTCCCTCGCCTTCCCTTTCTCCCCTTTCTCGGGGCTGGCTGGCTGGCTGGCTGAGTGACTGAGGCGGGTTGCTGGCGGCGGCGGCGGTGTTCCCGCGACGGCGGCTCAGAGCGATTGAATCGTGCACACGCACGAGGGACGAGAATGCGCCGGCGCACGCGTGCAGGCCATCTTCGCCTCCGCGCGCGCCCGCCGAACGCACGCGACCAGGGACGCGGCGGGAGGAAAGGGTACGTGACGCGAGAAAAAAAAAAAAAACCCCCCCCCCCCCCCCCTCCGTTTAACGTTCGCTGCCTCTTGGAGAGTCCGTGCCTCCTTCGCCCCCACCCACCCGGGAAAAAGCCCACAGGGCGCAAGCGCGGGCTCTTAAAGGGGCCGCGCTGTTGACTTCCGAGCACAAAAAAAGGACGTGGACGTGCGAAGAGCGAGAATAGGAAAGTACATAGTGGACTCGCTCGCAGGGGTAGTGCCCGCTCCTCTCCCCTCTCCCCCAGTAGGTTTCCTGCTAGTCTTTCCATTTTCTCGGCGAGCGCCTGTCATTATTCATAGCTGTCATTTCCTGCCCCCTCCTCCTCCTCCTCCTCCGTGCAGTGGTGATTTCTCCTGTAGCAATTAAAAAACAACTTCTGATGTTATTCATATAAAATACAAATAGGTGTCAGAAGGCATTAACTACCAGATAGGTCTCTGCTTTAGAGGCACGTAACTCGTTCAGCCCAGTTAGCTGAGATTCAAACCATGTTTTCGATTCTCGGCTTGTCTTGCCGTTCAGACGCCCTGCCGGGAGATGAAGAGGTTGTAGTCCAAAACATTTATGAAATCGGGGGAAAAAAGTGGCTTCAGCAAAATTTATTCTGAGCCTCAAAGATTGGATTTGTCATGCTGTCTGCCGGTTTTATTTGATCTTGAAATTCACGTTCGTTAAAATTGAACAAGCAAAACAAAGACCTCTTATCCGTAAAAGTAGAGTAGGCTTGCTCATATCGCGTTACTATAATACATTCTCTCCCTTTTAAATAGTAACCCCCTCATCCTACTTCTGGGCATTTATTTGCTGTATCTTTATTTGTTGGGCATTTATTTGCCTTATACTAAGTCTGCATTGTGGGAAACCAGAAGAGAACAAAAACAAAAAAACCAATGAAGATTTAAGCTATTCATATTACTTTTCTTTTAGCCATCAATCCATAGTGAATAAACCAGCCAACTATTTGTTGTTAAATAGCAAATTCTGTGCTTGGACACATTAGGGAAAAAATGGAAAATAAAGCAGTGTAAGTAATATCATTATATAAAAGTGCAATGAGCCATTATTTTGAATACAGTGTTTAGTTTTGAGTACGCCATCTGAAAAAGGATCTTGGAAAGCTAAAAAAAGGAGTGCTCAACATTTTAGGATGCTCCCTTATTCCTTATACTTTTTTAAAAATCTTACTGTTTGTACTGTATGTGGGTATGTCATTTAGGATTTCTGAATTGGAATAACATATACCCTATAAATAATGGTACAACCTTTAACAAGAAGGTAAATAAGAGGAAATCATGTATTTCCCTTTTCCTTCTTTCTTTCCCGTTAAAAGCTGGATCTCTACATATTTGAGTGGATGCCTTCAACCTCTACTATTGTTAAGGAAAAGAACCTATGTTTGTATACAAAATTAAATGTCAGAGATTCATCATTGATAAAAGGTACAAATTATTTACATAATATATAATTTGGAACGTGGCACCATCAAATACAGTGATAAATGCCAATTTAGACTATTTTAAGGGGGAACTGAACAAATTTCAAAGATAAGTATATGATTAATGACTTTATTAATTGATGGCTATTTGTAGCTCCCAAAATTGTTGATTGCCTACTCTGTACATCAAATGCTGGAAAGCAAAAGATTATGACTTTCCTTTTCATGTTTGTGAGCTTCCTGACCTAATTGTCTTTTGATATTTTGATCTCCCAGGGCACCTCATAAGTCTTTAATTCACAACTGCCCTTTTAAGGTATGTTGGGAGTAATATGAAATAATAAAAATTCAAGTAATATGAAATAATAAAAATTCTATCATACTTGATTAATGCATGCACTTGATCAGATCCAGCATGTATTTGCAACCATACGCATCAAACTGGACACATCACATGGTGGATAAAGCTCTTTAAAATCCAATAGTGATCCTATCACATAAACTACTATTTGTAATTCAGAAAGTGGCACCTAATGCTTAAAAACAGTACAGGCTTCTTTATGTATAATGAAGTGATTATTGTCATGACTTGCCCACTTTCTTGACACCATGTATAGCAATTAAGTGCTCTGATATGCTTCAAAGATATTGGACGAGATTGCCAAAGCAATCAGCACTCTGGAGAGCGCTTGGCACCTTGCTTTGTTTACAATCTGTAAATACTCTAAAACAGGGGTGTCAAACTCACATAGTCATGTCGGTGTCATGTGATGTTATTGTGACTTTTCCCCCCTTCGCTTAACTGGGCGGAGGCGGGGCCAGAATGTGACACAACTGGCCCGCGGGCGGTGAAAGCACAAAAGGAAATTAAACTTGCAATCACTGTAGTATGAAACTGATGAAAAATTAATGGATAAAGGTTCAGGTCATTTAAGCCTAGAATAATCTGGAGGTCCTCAGATTCCTTACTTGAGGAAGAATCCATGTGTTTTAACAAAAATCACCCTGAAACAAATATGATTGCTTGGACTAAAACAGCAGTCCCAACATTCAGGGAAAAAAACTCAGCCGGTCTCAGCAGGAACCCTAAACCTAACAGAACCAGGTTTTAAGGGTCTTCCAGGTCTTTTGCAACTATGCATAATTCCAGGGGATGCTGTTCTAGAGCAGGGGTCTCCAACCTTGGCCACTTTAAGACTTGTGGACTTCAACTTCTGGCAGTTGGAAGTCTACCAGTCTTAAAGTGGCTAAGGTTGGAGACCCATGTTCTAGAGGACAGGAGCTGCAATATAATTACTCCAAGATTATTATATGTGCAGAGATGGAAAGATCTGACAGTACCTCTGTGGTTGGTGAAATTTATAGATCTTGTTGAACGGATAGACTTCTTTGATTAGAGATTATCTACATTTATTGGTGACTGAAAGCCTCTTATGCACTTTTTACATAAACATGAATACAATGAAGTTATTTATGGTTTTGATGATTAGACAGGAGAGATTATAGAAAGAATATATTGTAATTTTAGAGAGATCATAACATACTTCTACTTAATAACTGCTTTGAAGAATATTGGAAGCCACTTCATTTTTCAATTTTTTATTGCACTTTTTTTCTTTTTCTTTCTTACTTTATATTGGTTTGTAATAGTTTTTATTTACATTTCCTATTTCTTAACTATCCATCTTTATGGGGACTTTTATTTTCTTGTTTAAGTGTTAATAAAAATTATTTTAATTTTTAATAAAAATCATTTCCCATAGTGCTCCCCACTTCAAAAGGTTGATAGCATTTAATCATTTTCCTCAAATATAACTTTCCTCCATAGCTTTCCAATTTTGTTTAATTAATTCTACAGAATAAACAACTTTTTCTTTTGTTGTAATAGATCAATAGTGCATTCAAATTATTTTGATTAGATTTAATAGCTGACTTAAATAAGTCAATTGATCAGTGGAACAACTTGCCTCCAGAAGTTGTAAATGCTCCAACACTGGATGTTTTTAAGAAGAGATTGGATAACCATTTATCTGAAGTAGTGTAGGGTATCCTGCCTAAGCAGGGGGTTGGACTGGAAGACCTCCAAGGTCCCTTCCAACTCTGTTATTCTATCCTAAGTCGTGGCTTTGTGGCGCAGTGGTTAGAATGCAGTACTGCAGGTTAACTCACTGTTCAGTCCAGGAGTTTGATTCTCACTGGCTCAAGATTGACTCAGCCTTCCATCCTTCTGAGGTAGGTAAAATGAGGACCCAGATAATTGTGGGCAATATGCTAACTCTGTAAATCACTTAGAGAGGGCTGCAAAGCACCATGAACGGTATAGAAGTCTAAGTGCCAAATGATCAATAACATCCTGAATTCTGATGTAGAAGATCAATGATAGTTTTGTCTACCCATGCCAAAATATATTTTCATTGGTCAGTTTGTTCTAGATCAGCAGGATTAACAATAAACTGCAAGGGAAAAACAGAAGTTATTATTGAAAAAAGAAAATTGGACATGTTGCCCTTTTCAGAAAAATAGCAGAGAAAGATGGCTCAGGTAGTTACAATACAATTAATTGGAGATTAATCCATATTTACAGTCCTGGCTTTTGTGACTGGGAATAAAGTAACATGTTTTCCTAATTGGAAGATCAGTTCCCACCCCGCCCAAAAAAAAGAATGAAAAAGAATGCCATATATGGTAGCTAGTTTGAAATATATGTACAAATACTGTGTTGCCTTAATCCCCCCATTAAAAAAATTATTTAGTCTGCTGAGTTAATCTGATATCTCATGAGATCTATAATTATTTTGAAACGAACATCTACAAAGCATTTTTCCCTTCTGTTCAGTCATGTTCAATTATCAGACAAGTCTGCAGAAAATGTGATAGCTCCAAACTAAAGCATATCCCATGTCCCAGGTTTAATTTTTGTTATTGTCATATTTGTTTGGAGAAATTCCTGCCTGCATGTCCTTCACATTTTACAAACATAACTGACAAAATGTAAAGAGGATAAAGAAAATGATGGGAAGATCTTTCAACTGGGTACATTTAGCTTGAATAACAGATTAAAGGAAGATACTGTTGATTTCAAATATATGAAAAATTGTTAACATACAAAAAATGAGCCAGGAAGCAGATTCCAGCTAACATTTAGGGACAACTGCCAGAGAGTTAAGAATTGCTTGACAATAGAGTTGATTATTTTGGCATTTAAGTAGAGGCTGGGAAGTTCTAGTGAAGTTGTAATTGCTAGAATTGCAACCATTGTAGCTGCTAGGTTTGAGAGACTTGAAAGATGATTTCTCAACTTTCTTCCAGTTCTGCAGTTCTATTATAAAGATGCTCAGCTGCTTACCAAACTATAATCTCTAATTTGCTGGCAACTGTTATTCAAAATAGTCATAAGGGCAATGAGACTTAACTGCTTCCACTTCTGGTTGGCATAATATTAACCATTATATTACATTATCCTATTGTCTCTTCTTGTAAACATTTAAAGGCAGCATATTTCTTTTTATGTGATCAGTAGTCAGATCATCATACCCATGTTTAAGGTGTCCAATCAATGCTTAATCATGAAGTAGACCAAAGGACCACCTGTTTATTCATATAAGGGAGTCAAGTACCGATAATTTCAGGCCAAATTGTATGAGTAAGTGATCCCAATATATTCAGAAAATGTTATATTCTTTTCCAGAAGAGGGTCAAAAACCTTATTAGGTACAAAACTCTGGTTACAGTTTTTAATATTATTGCACCAACCAGTCATGTAAGTTTTCTTGGCTAGAATAGCCAAGTTTGAATAGCCACCTGACAGAAATGCCCACCAGATTTGAACTAAATACTCCATATCATTCACTCACTGATAATTGGATGACCTGATCTGAACTACAGTACTTGCTAAATTAGGCTATAGTTAAGCGGTATAACAACTTAAACCAGAGCAGGCATTAAATTGTAATAGAACATATTAATCAAAATTTGTAGTCATGATTGGTAGAAAATTTACTTACCTCCACAATTTATCATCTCACATACTGTAGATTGGAGAAAAAAGAATATAGGATGAATTTCCCATTCTAACGTTTAAACATAGAGATGGAAAATAAGGAAGACCACAAAATGAGGATAGTTCAGCATCTTCCTTCCCCTTGGCCGTTTTCCACCACCATGCTGAGGTTAAATATGATCACCAACAGAGTGGCTTTATTTGAAATAGAAGACAAAACAGCAGAAAATGTACCAATCAAGGCAGAGAATGATAATCAAGCTGCAGCTAAGTATAGTTTTGCTTTGTTCATTACTATACTGTAAAACCAGATTTGTTGAGCATACTAGGTTGAAAAGCTAGTTTAGTGTAGTGTTAAGAAGCTGGAAAGAAACACAGCCCATGAGTTCTTGTCTTTCATTAGGACTGAAGTCCGATGGGTGCCTTTGGGTCATCAGCCCGCTCATCTTTTGTAGTAGTAAAATAGGCGAAGGAAGGGTTATGTATGCCACTTTGAATTATAAAGAATAAAGGTGAAATATAAATCTTAGAACTCTCAATTTTGTGGACCTAGTGTCCTTTAATTTTGCCTTTGCCCCCGCATGGACACCAGCTTTCACATAGACACCCTTGTTCTTTGTTTTGTCTTGGTTGCCCTCCATCACTGCACATCATTTCACTTATTCTAAAACTTGGTCAAATCTAGCAATTGCAGAAAGTATACATCTGAAATCAGGGTTCTTTTGATACAGCAATTGTTGGCAAAGATAATCGTATATTTTTTTTGAGGTGGAATGTAGCTTCCATTTGGCACATGTCTAAATATCAAGGTAGTGGCTTCCCCATGTGATGGGAATGTTGGAAGAAGTGTTCTGTGCATTCTCAAGAACAAGAACCTCAACTGAACAATGATGAGTGAAACAGGTAACTATAACATAAAAGGAAATTATTTGCAGGACATACTGGAGTAAGCAAAATCTAGCACCTATTTAGTTACATGCTACCAGGAGGAAAGCTGAAGAGCATGTTCTCTGCATATGTGTGCATGGGAAGAAAGACAAAAGGAAATCATCTCCCATAAACTCTCTTACACAAAAAGTATGTAGAAGAGAAAAACCTAACTCTTTATCTGTGCCCTACCGCCCCCTTGTGGTCATAAGATGCTGAAGAGTCAGTTCCCACCCATCTTTACCTCTAAATTTGGACTTCCATCTAACAAGCAGTAGAAGTCCCAGAATTCCAAGGTATCTGTTCATCCTGGAAATTAATGCCAACCTAAATAGGTATTGCTTGATTGGGAGATTGATATACAGAGGCTCAGTATGCAAATATTCACAGTATCCAGGGAATTGTTTGGAAATCCGTGTTAAAGTTCCTTGTTCTTACTCAAAGGCTGACATGATGTATTTATGCCAGCATTTTCAACCCCTTCTCCCAAAAGCTCAAGTGATTTGCAAGTCCATGGCAATTACTTTTTGCTAACCTACCACTTCAGGTCTTTTTCAATTTCTACAGGACTTGGAACAGTATTTATACAAATATTTTATACAAATACACTATAGAGCAGATTGGACTGCAAAAGACTGTAAATGCCATAGCTGTCCACAGGGATTAAATGTATGGTGCTTCACATCAAAATCTAATACCCTCTAAACATTACGTTATATTGTACTTGCACTATTCCACTGTACGAAGAGAAGACTGAATAGCAGTGAGAGGAAATAAGTATTATATACATCCACAATCCAAATCACAGATGCTTCCTGAAAATTGGCCTAGCATAGAATTGTAGACAATGAAGATCAAAGGAAGACACAGAAACAGGGTGTTAGCTAAATGTCAGTTCTCATTTAATGCTCTTAGCCTGATTTGCAACATTTACCACATAAATCATCTAAATAAATAAATGTACAGTCTTTTAACCATCATCAGTACAAAAATAAAGCCACACATTGCATCAATTAAAATTCGCTCTGTCCTCCTTGTTTGTATTACAATCTGTTTCGCAGCAAACACTCATAAAAAGGCAACAAAACTGCAATTTCTACATTTTTAAATTTTTGTTTGGAATTTGTTCCCTGAACCCTTCCCTTTCCAATACATTCAATTAGTCTGTACAAAAATCCCAAGAAGCTCATTCTGTGCAAAGGAAGCTTTTGTGTGCAAAGGTAACTTGGGCACTGGGGTCAGGAAAATATCAACTCAAGTACCATGCCATTAATGAGGGGTTAACCTCCCCCCCCCCCAAATAATACACCAAAAAATAAAACACAACTGGCCTGTTTTTCTCCCATCCATTAAATACATTGCCATATGTATGCCAAAGAAAACTATGACTATGCGAATAAGCAATTAATCCAGGAGTCACTCTGACACATCAAGCAGTGCAAACAAGAACACAGCTCAAACCCTCTTAAATGGGATGTTCTTGGCACTAAAATGTTTTCTAAGTTCAGTAGACAAATAATGCCCTGTTTTGATTTTTTAATTTTTTTTTGATTTTGTGGTATTTCTGACCACACTTTAAAGAAAAGGTTACCAATGAAAGATTGTAACAACCATTAAGAAAAAGCTGCTGTTTATATCCCATAAAATAGCTGGATACAGCCCCACATCTCTAATAAGTTATTAAAGTGCAATTTGTTAGGGAAAGGTGAACTCTGAAAAATATGCATTAAAATATACATCATATATACAGACATAAATGGAAGAGTGTCACAAGGCTGCATTTGACTAGTGCGCACAAAGCTGGAGGAATCTATCAGAAACAACTTATTGCTGGTATCTGGAAAGTTTTTCGAGTTCAAGGGAAATTTGGAATTGTTCTAAAGAACAGTCATTCTCTTTTTTCTGAAATGGGGAACCTACTGTGTAGTTAGGTCTGAAAGGCTAATCACAATTTATAAAAGAACAGCAGTCTGGGGTCTACAATGGCTAACTTTATCTTAACAATGCCATTACTAAATATATCAAAATAAGCATTTACAGTGCAATCTTACATTCAGAAGGAAGCATCAATATGCTCACTAGTATTTAGTCCCAGTAAGATGCATAGGACTGCACCCTTTTGTGTATTTTAGATTGGTTTTGCCATAATACAAACCTCCAAATTGGTTGTCAGATGTACAGACACACCATATTACAGCCAAATAAAATCATTAGTGCAAATATACTTTGTATCTCTTCCCACTGAGGGTGTGTGTGAAGTTTAGTTGGGCCAATTAAAATCTGTATTTTTGATATATTAAAATTTCGCTTCCTCCAATAAATTCTGTTCACTGTTAAACTTTTGGGCTGATGCCCAATATCTATATGGGTCTAAAATTATAAATTTTTCAGGATTCTTCAAATCTGCTTTAAACTTGTACATGTTTAATGTTTAGCTCCAGGAGGTGATGAGAATTTGCCTTTTTTATATTAGATTGTCTCTTTCAAGAAAGTTTCCTATTAATGGAAAGGAAAACCTAGTACATGTCAACTTTTTTAACAAGTTCATATTTCCTAACATTTCTTAAAGAATGCCATACAGTCTTGTTCAACTGACAGTCCAATCTCATCAAACAAAAATAATTGTATAGTCATATTACAGCTGCTTCTATTTCATCATCAATCTGCACAATCAAGAAACATCATAATTATACAATAACTTGTAGTAGTTTTCATAACTATTGCAGTTTTTTTCTTTAATCCTTCAGTGGCTTAGGGAAAATAGTATTTCACAAGGAACAAAATCTATTAAGGTACTGGAGGATATCAAATTGTACACTTATGTTAAATTTCCTTAATACAGAACTTCATCTCTCTCTCTCTTTTTTACATTTACTCATATCTCTGTTGTTATCTAGCTTAAGAGGTTACTTTTCCAAATCATGCTGAAAATACAAACATGAAACATCAAATGATCTTACCTTCTTTGGCACAAGGCATTACAGCATATGCACAAATAGCATATATACATCTTAGCTGCAAGCAAATTAAAAAATGGCCCTTTCTCTACATACTCTTTCTCACATAAAGAACATGCACACCAAAAATATGAACAGCTCAACTATCTATGCATATAGGAATTATTAAACAGGAAAAAATGTACAGTAATAGGATTAGATCTCAATCTGGACTTGAACTAACTTTGTGACCACTGAACAACTTTAAAAATGTTGGTACTATACTGATCACTTTGGCATATTTTTTTAAATGGGAGAAACTAAAGGGTCAAAAAATCTACAGCCATAATATGCTACATTTTGCTGAAGCAATGCATCTAATCCTGATTAGTATAGCAAAATGTTACTAGAAACTGAGAAGCTACAAATTTTCTACTTGTCTTAGAAACCAAAGAAAACATTACCAATGTAATGTACAATATAATGATAATATGAAATGTATATTCATTAATCATACACCAACATATGACAATGCTCTTCTTGAAGATCATCTTAAACTCAACTTATAGTCAACTTTTCTTATTGGAGGAAATGGTGCATTTTAAGCAATGTAACATGCATTTTCTGCTCTCTCAAACAAACACCATTCCTGTAGCAATTGTGTATTTACCAAAATTACTGTATTCCCTTATTAAATCTATAATAAATTAATGCCATCATATAAGTTTGAGTTGAAGGTGATCAGGTTTTATTAATTTCAGTTTCCAGCTTCACTCACATAACATACAAATGGAGCTTGTTTATCATACTAAGCCATGATTCATTGCCTCTTTGGGGAAAGCATAGCTTTCATATTTTCTCTGGAACTCATATTAAGAGCTCAGAAGAATTGGGCTCTTACTATGTTAATGCTGCCTGCAATCTAATGTAGAATAAAGGAGGCTAAAATAGTTCAGAAAGGTGGGAATTGAACATATTCCTTCACCACTTTCAAGAAAACAGTCTTCCTTTGTCAGTGTGAAATAATGTGAATTATCCCAATTTACACCTTCTGACCCATAATGACGCCTCTTCCTTTAAAACTTTTGAGAAAGAAAAAACCCACAGCTGTTGCACAACAAATAGCTTCTTTGAATTGGCAAGCAACAACTTTGTCCAAATTACCCTTCCAAAATTTGACATCAGGTTGGTAGTTGAAAGCTTTGATGGAAGACTAGTTGTTGAAGCCTCACATGATTTTAACATTTCTATTTTTGTAAATCTCTGAATTAATAAATAATTTAATCAATCAAAGGGAAAAAGCATTTTTGTGGGATAAAAGTTGAGAGCAGTAAACAAATCAGAAGTGATCAAAAGATGCATTAGAACATGCTATACACATTGATTTTTCCTTTCAATCCTTACTCTTTTTTTCATTTCAGCTGACTTAAATTCTTCAAAAAATAGGGTTTGGACTCAATTCTACCTTCTACCATTCCATTGTCACTTTCCATAGGAAAATTATTTTCTAGAGTTCATCTGTTCAAGCCAACTTAAAGAAGCACGTATTCACAAGAACATATGCTAAAGCTATACAATTCATAGGTACAACAGTTCCTGTAAAACAAAACAAAGCATTCACAAAAATGTCCAGCACAAATTTCAAGGTACTAAAGTGCAAGACAGGGTCCTATATAACTGCAAGCAGCTTCTCCTGGCAGAGATCTTCATAAAATATTTGTACAGAAAAATATACAGAAGTATCAACACGAAGAATAAATCATCAGTGTCCTTTGGAGAACAAATTAATAAAATTATATTTTTGTCTCACACTTATCTTTCAATCAATCCATTTCTCTGGTCTTGTATTTCTGATCCTGTATTGGATCAGTTAGCACAATGAAATCAGTGCCAATATGCAACTTCTGATTAAATTTCTAAACAAAACTGGTAATTGTTTTGACTCTACTAAACAATCCTTCACTCTATCAACTACTTCCACTTTTAATTCATGCAACATATTGTAGATGCAGGAAGTTCCCCATCCACTTGAGTAAGAGCAGAACACCAATGCAGTGTTCTTCAAACCATTTCAAGCCTAGCAAAATATTGTTTCATACATAGTCACACAGTCCAAATGTCCTTTTAAATGTACATATCTTAATAGTACCAAACTGACAACCAGATGTCCAACAGAATCTGGTTTCAAAAAAAGTCTCCCAATTATTTACGTATTTAAAAATTTAAATACACTGGGAAATTCCTTGTGTGTGTGTGGCAGGTAATTAACTGCATAAGGAACAAGAAACATATATAAAGCTAATTGAAGGAGTAAAGTTCTTGGGCTCAATTTTTTATTTTAGGAACTGATTGTATCTTTTCCTCTTGGGGTACGTTTGGTGTACCGAAAATTTTTCACTGATCAACATGTACATTAAAGCATGTCCTCTCTCTACATCCATCTACAAACCTGTAAATGGATATAAGCTTGAGTTTCCAATAAGCAATTCAAATTTCATATATTTCAAGAACTCACTATATATCTAATTAAATATTAAGCCCTCCCATTGCATATTACAAAGGCATCTGAAGTAAGACAGAATTTTTGGGATCTGTAACAATTCCATTCAAGCCATCTTCATACTCAAGGACAAAATGGAAACATGTTTATGACTACATACTGTAGGGTTGCCAGTGATAATTATTGAGGAATTCCTATTCTGCTGAAAAGCTGCAGGCTTCCTAGGATAAGACCATAAAAACTACTGGGCTTACCTCATCAGATAAGGAACAAGCCAGGTTTCTCTTATACCGGTATGCCTGATTATAGCAATACCTTTTTCTTGTGCTCCTGTTACTAATAAACCATAAGCAAGGAAAAAACCAGCACGATTCTTTGGAAGCCCAAACCTGAAAGCCAGTATAACAGCTGTAGTTGGTTTTCTAAATCATAGCATCTCTGGAAGCACTGTGGATGGCAGCAAGCCCCATCACCAACAGTACTAGTAAATGAAAAAACATTAAGAACTGAATGGCAGACACCCAAAAGAAAAAGGGGAGTAATGTTTTTATATATGCACCTGGAGGGAAGCAGATCAGGGAAGCAGTTTGAACTAGAGAAGTCCACTGAATTTGGAAGAGGTCATGGATATTTATATTTGGCCTCTTTCCTATTTCAGACACCGAGCCCTTAACTTTTGAGTGCAGAAGGTATATGCCATAACTAAGAAATTGATATTTTTCCACAATGCACCATGAATAAGTATCTTTGCCAGTGAAAAAAAGCTTCAGTTTCCCAGACAGACAAAGCAACAACAGACAAGTAATATATCCATACACTCTTTTTCTATCTATAGTAACAAATGAAGGGGGGAAAGCACAGGTAATCCTCACACTGCTCTACCTTTGCTTTGTATATTTGAAAGGTGAATACAACCAAAAAGAATGTCAGCATGATCATTTGTTCAAAAAAACCAAAATGCTCTGTAAACATTTGTAAAGGGATTCCCCCCTCCCCCCCAAATTCTCTTTTTTTCTAAATAGTACTGAAATTGTAATGAAACCTGTGATTGGGAATGAAGGAATAACTCAAACTCAAAAATTCCCTTAATAAAGAAAGACCAAGAGAGAGAAAGAAAAGTTAACAAACAGCAGATTTAGAACTGGATGCTCCGGTCTCGGAAGAAGCCTTCTGCCATCTGAGCTTCTCTGAAAGTCACGGTAATGGAGTTTGCGGTGATATCTGTAACTGTCACTTCATTTGGGGGCAATGCAGGGCTCCAGGAAAAAGGACCTTCTGCTGTCTCTGGGCCCACTGTGGAAAGGGGAGAGTGCAGAAAAACAAATAGTGTGATGAGGAGGAACAAACTGAAGGGAAACAAAACCCCACAGGTATCAAAAGTCATGCCTGCTCATGAAACAGATCAACTATTGTAGAATAGATACACATAACTCTAGGAAGGGAAAAGTAGCAGGAACACAATCACCTGCCTGCATAGATACAGCAAATACGTAATTGTGCAAATACTGCTATAATTCCAGCAATTCCAATCAGTGCGAGGATGTACTTACATTAGCATTTATCTATCCCCAGAGAATCTCCAAGACTTTAAAAGGGAATATTGTACAACTGAATTCAGATCCCACATACCTTCTCCCCAATCCACGGATGCACTAGCAAAGTACCTTCGCTCCAATTGTATTTATACTGTGAAACTAAATACCACAGGGATGTTTTCCACAGTCTTCCATTAATACTTAATACAAGAAAATAGCAATTGCACATGAAGATCTAAAAGAAGGACTGTTTATTACTGTTTACAAAACTCTTAAAAACCTTTCTTTTTAAGGGTTAATTGCAAAGGCATAGGAATTAAACAAATTCCTCTTCACAGTGACAGCAAACTGAATTTACAATGTATTCTCTAGCCTTTTCTTGTTTCATTTTTATACAAATGAAAACAAGAGAAGAGGGAAGTTCTCATTTTCTGTTCTTTATCTATATTGCACCATTCAATTTTACTTGAGGATGGAATAAGAATAAGCATCTTTTAAAAGGGTATTTTTGGCTTCTGAATGGATATTTGACTGGGATCTAATCCACCCAAGATTCTATTTCTATAACTACTGCAAATTTCTTACATATATCCCATCCAAGAGGCATCCAATGGCATTCCTTATGTCATCCCGTCCAAACAGAAAGGTCAATTAAAAATGGTATTTACACATATCTGATCATCAATTATACTTTATGGGAGATGCATTTCCTACTGATTTTTTATTATTTTTTTTTTAAAAGGAAAAGCAGCACAGATAGGCTTTATGCACTTGTAAGTCCACCACCCTCAAACCAAATCCCAGCTCTGCCCACATACATGATATCATACACCATTGTTCTACCTACATTATATACATAGTATAAAACATTAAGTTCTTGAGTTTAAATAGTTGACAATACACAGCAGAACTTGACTGATCTTAGGATCAGATCTTAAAGGCATTTGAATGGGAGACCTTAAGAAACAGGACTGTAGACCAGGTTGGAAACTGAATGAATGCCCGAGAAGAAAATAATGCCAAACCTTTCCCACAAAGTTGCCAAGAAAAAGCATGCTCAAAGGAAACTTGGCTTTTTAGTAAATTCTAAAGTCAGTACAATTTCAGAAATACACTTCCTATGGATATGAATGCAGACTTTGCAATTTGTGGATGATACCTGGTGAAGTAATTTAAGCTGGTACATATGCTTTTAAGCGTAACCAATCAAATGACAATATCCAGAAGGCAACTCTGCTTTAATCATAATATATAGCACGTTATCCTGGCAAACAGTCCAGGTTCTGATGTGAATATTCCATTTGAAATCAAAATTATATGCATACAATAGCTTCACTGATGTTAATATACATCAGCTACTCAGTTGTTTCATACCATGCATAGAAGGTAATGTAAACATAAACATAAAACTGCCCTAAATATAAAATGTTTAATGACCAGTAAAATTCATATATACCTACACTAGAAATTTTGTATGAAACATTTATAACATTCTTGATTCCTCACAAGCATACATCTGTAGTTTTGCAGAAGTGCTGATCCAATTATTTCAGCCTGGAGCTGTTCAGATGTGCTGGACATGCTGGCTGGGATATGGAAATTACTGTCCAACATTTTTGAGGGTATTCAGTCAGCAGTGTAAATACCACAATGTTTACTTCTAATTTTCTTCAACCATGATTTACAAATCTTTTAAGTTTTATGAGAAAAGGGAATAACTTTTGCAGCGTATATTAAAGAAGAGCCAGCAAAGAAGATCAGTGTATTTTGTCCATCATATTAGAAATATTTTAGATAGAATATGCAAGATGGTGTTAAGAGCTCCTACCAAAAGTGGAGCTTGAACCATCCATAGGAAAAAGCATTCGCTCCTGTGGAATCTGTTGGCAACAACTGCAAGGCTACTCTACAAATGCCACCTGACCCAGCAAGCAACTGGTTTTCCATCAGTCCAACCAACCTTGTTGACCTGATGCTTGGATTTAAAGGGCCTATTGTCCAACACTATAGACAGTCTTTGACATACAATTCCAAATGGGACCAGAATTTCTGTTACTAAGTGAAGCAGTTGTAAAGACAACTGCATCACTTAGTGACAACAATCCCTGCAATCCCAGTTACCACTGTTAACCAAGTCCTGCTGGCTTCTCACAACCAAAGTCAGTGGGGAAGCCAGCAGGAAGTTGCAAATCCCAAACCAGCAGGTAGGTAAGTGGTTACTTCCAGGTGTGAGAGGGACCAAGGGGTCCATAGGAATGGAATGGCAAGGGTGCCCAAGAGATGTGCTGAGGGTTGGAGAGGTGCACGGGGCTGCAAAGGTGCGTGAGTGGCCAGCACAAGGACAGAGGGTTTGAGGAAGAATGCACAGGTGGGGAAGACATACCACAGCAACTTCCAATCTTTCCTACCAGCTTCCCTATTGACTTTCTAGAGGTGGTGTTACTGCAACGATCAGAACTCTTGAGGACCAGTCATAACTACAATTGCTTCAGTTCTGTCATAACTTTGAACAGTTGCTGACTGACAGTAGTTTGGAATGACTCTTTGAGCTTCATGCTGCCAAAGAACTATGTGTGCCCGAGAGGTATGAACAGCAAATTAAAGATTCCACATCCCCATTTATATACCCAGAATGCCTCAGTCTAGGAGAAAATCCAGCCAGCAAGATGAAGTTGGTATCGCAAAGCTGGAGATAGTTCCAGGCTTACCTTCCTTGGCAGGAGATTGTGTTGCATCATCCCAATCACTGGGTGGCTGCCTGTCCTCAAGGACCACAGGCTCCTTCAAGAAGAACTCTCGACGACGATTCCGATTCTCCAGGCTTGACATGCGGGTGAACTTTTTCCGTGAAAGGCGTAGATACTTCTGGTTCTTGCTCTGTTTCCGAAGAGGAAAGGGCAGGACCGCTCCCCCACTCTTCTCAGACAGTTCTGTCTGCCCTCCCTTGGCCCCTGCCAAGTTGTTTCCTCCTCCCCCAAACCTCCGGGACAGAGAAAAGCAGAGTTTCTCTTTCCCTTTGTGGGCACTCCTCAGGTCCATGCTATATAGTCTCTGAAAATGAAGAAAAACACTCTCAGCTCAAGATGTTTGTGATGCAGCTTGGTTCACACAAGACACAATTTGCAAAAACTCTAAGTTCTTCCAGTGCCCTGGGCTTCCAGCTCCGCAAATTCTACTAAGCCAAATGGCCTATATAGTCATTGTATATATTTTGTGAGTAAAAGTATTAAGGTTTATCTGCACAACAGCAAAAGCTTCCATTGGACAATGACTGTTACCAGTGGAACATACAAAATTCTCTGAGCTATGGGCAAAACATTTTTTTAAGTTAAGATTTAACTCTGAAAATCAATTTTCCATTCACAATATATGAGAGAGAAAAGGAAGGTTAAATACCCCTAGAATTTGCTTGACTACAGTTCCAATTTTCCCTGAACATGTTAGTTGAAATTGAAAGAACTTAAGAATTTAGTAATATCTGCCAAGAAGATCTTGTGATGTCCTATTGCATATGCTTTCAGGAGTCACAATCTATTATATCAGATACCAGAGGATTCTGAGCTTTTTCTGCAATAAGACTAGCACAGCTTTCTCTCTGGCCCATGGTATCTGGGAATTCAAAACTGGGAGAGGCTAAACTACAGCATTAATACTGGGATTTAGGAATAGGCATCAACATTTAGTAAATCTGAAATATTACCTGCAGCAAGAGACGCTTAGGTTTGGGACCTCTCTTTCTGTAACCTGAGGCACGCTCCCTTTCTTCCCTAAAGAGACAGAAAAGACCTAGCAGTTCTGTTTGTTGAAACAGCACAAATACACAAAGCCTTTTGTACAGACATTTCTTCACATTGCTTACACATACTTCCAAGGAAATGCTGATTCAAGTATAGATCAAATTAAGACAGATTTCATGTGAATTGGGTTGGTAATTATAGCTTCTAATTTTCTCCCGAGTTAATACATCATTATAACTAAAAAGTGTTATTTAAACATGCACACAAAACGATCTTCCTTTGTCAACAAGTTAAATAAATCTAAAAGTGCTTTCAACAAAAAGGTTGACATTAGCCTTCTTCAATCCAGTGCCCATCAGATGTGTTGTACTTATAGATTCCAGAATTCCCGGCCAAGACGGCCAAAACAGCAAATTGACAGTCTCATCACAGGAAGAAAGAAAGAATCTAGGCAAAATGTTGTATGGATGTCACTGACTGTTTTTATCTTGCTATCTATTCTGCATCTCATATATAAAATCTTGTAAGCTGAAGAACTCATCAGTAATATGATTTGCTTTTATTATATTCCTTAATGACAGCTGATCTTTTGGAAGCTTTTCACTTCCGAAACATGTTTGGAAACCCTTTGTTAAAGTTCACATTTTTTAGCTAAGAGTGTGACCTTACCTTGCCTAGATAAACTGAGATAAATGGTTTTAGTCTATATGTTGGCTGGGAAATTCTGAGAGTTGGAAGTCCAGACATCTTAAAGTTGCTCAAAATTGGGAAACACTCGTATAACTATGCTTTCCCAGAAAAGCCAGAGATTTTGGTTTAATTTTTCCAAAATGAAAAAAGAAATGGTCTTACTTTTCTTCATAAGCCATCACCAGACGGGGGTCAAGAATGTGTTCCTCAGGTTCCCATGTGCTGTACCTAAGAGAAAAGTGAGAGAAAGCAATCAAAACATTTTGGGTAAATTTGGGGCTTTTGTTCAAATGACCTACATTCTAGTATCTCCTTATTCATTGCATGGAGTTATGAAATAAATAGGTACTTAAAGCTTTACTATATACTTCTAAAATGTTTTTCTTTTACAACATGGAATGGATCAAGTAAAACTGACCTCTTGAAACAATAAAATAAAATAAAATAAAATAAACTTCCCATTCACGGGCTACATTAAATAACTTAATTCACTTGCAGGTAAGATTTCCCTTTGACTGAAATTAATCTCTGGTATCTACATAGATATGGATTGACTACATGGGTTTTTTTCCCCAACCCACTCAATTTAGGCCAATGCCTTGGGATTTTTAAGCAGTCCAAACATAACTTTTTCAAGGGAAGTCAAGGTCAATTAGGTTCTCCTACATAAGATAGCCAGGAAAAAACAAGTGTTTCCACCCAGACAACTTTTTTTACAGTGATAGTAAACAGGAAGAAGTTTATTTTTTATAAACAGTTTTTCTTGCTTGCATTAACCAGTATGAAATGTAACTCATGGCTATGCTCTGAGGAGTATAGCGTATTTTTTATTCCCTATAAGTTCATAGAGGGACAGTTAAAACATTGAACATAATAAAACCACTTAAAAACATATTACAGGTAGACAACAATTTATAACCATAACTGAGCCCCAAAATTATGTTGCTAAGCAAAACAGTTGTTAAAGTGAGTTTTGCCTCATTTTACGATCTTTCTTGCCACAGTTGTTAAGTGAATCACTACAGTTGTTAAGTTAGAATCACAGCTGTTAAGCGACTCTGCCTTCCCCATTGACTTTGCTTGTCAGAAGGTTGCAAAAGGGGATCACATAATCCTGGGACACTGCAACCATCGGAAATATGAGTCAGTTGCCAAGCATCTGAATCTTGATCATGAGACTGTGTGAAAAATGGTCATGTCATTTTTTTCAGTGCTGTTGTAATTTCGAACAGTCACTAAATGAACCGTTGTAAGTCAAGGACTAATTATAGTAAGACTACAGATAGTCCTCAGGTTATGATCATTTATTCAGTGATAAAAGTTACAATGGCACTGACTTATGACAGGTCCTTGAAATTCCAGCTGTTGCAGTGTCTCTGCAGGAATGCGATTCCAATCTGAGCCCTTGCACCCAGCTCACGGTTACAGTAAGATATGGTTACATAATTGTAATTTCCAACTTTCCCTGTCAGCATCTCACGAATGAAGTCAATGGGGAAGCTGGCAGGAAGTTGGAAGTTTCAATCACATGAAGTTTCCATTTAACAATGGCAACTGGGTCTGCTGGAATGGCCATCGACAAGCAACCAGGTCCTGTGAAGTTATGCTTCATGACCAAGTAGCTTCGCAACAGAATTCCTGTTCCTAATTGCCTCCATAAGCTGAGGATTACTTGTAGTACACCAACCTTCTCCAATTAAATTCATATTTCCACCAAATTATTCTACCACCAAAATAATTTGTCTCTACTAAATTAGAACAAAACAGTACCATGAATATTTCAAAGCCCCCCCCCCCCATCTTTATCTTAAATATAAAGCAATGGAGATAGAGGGGATTTAATAAAATGAAAGTCCTTAGCAGAAAGGTCCACAAACACGATGCCCCTACAGAAGAAAGTATGCGGCCACAGAGGACCTGGAAAATAATTCAGATTGTCAATTAATATAAAAGGATATCTTCCCTATTCACATGACTTAGAAGCTTTAATACAGCCAAATTCATTCTGAATAAATAGAATAGATGAAAACCATCTACAAATGTACATATGCTGATGATACAAAAACTGAAGTTATTCTCTAAATTAAGGGCAGGCTGATTGTGGACCCGTAAGTCATTTAGCCCAGGATGATCTGCAATTTCACCTTGTTTATATTAAATTTCTGTAGCAGTTATCCAGATTATTTTTGATCTCAGATGCTATTTAGAGCCAGAATGAGAAACCTACAACATTTCAGATTTTCTGGATTCCAACATAATCCACCAGATTTGGTCAACCATCAACCACAATGGGAACTGTAATGTAACTTTTGGAGTATGATAAGTGTCACATAACATTGGTTATGTTTTAACCATTTGAAGGCTTAACACATACATTTTTATAGGAATTCCTACTTCAAGGAGAAATTATCTGTCTACTTTGATGTTTCTCAACCTCAGCAAATTTAAATTATGTGGACTTCAACTCTCAGAATTTACCAGCCATATGGAGTTGAAGTCAACAAAGCTTAAACTTGCTGGGGTTGAGAAACATTTGTCCAGCTTGTTTAATCTCATGTGAGATCAAAGGAGAGGATGATGTTTTTCAGGGCATGCCTCAACACTATGAGCAGCTAAATTTTAAAGACCTGAATAGCACCCTCACAAAACAGTCTTTTGGAAAAAGTTAAAACAGAGGTCTTCCGCATAATTTTGAATCAATAAGGAACATTAAAAAAACTGTTTACCCATATTCATGCACGTGATCATCGCAGAAGTTTATAGATATGGTCTAGACGAAGCCATATACAGAGAGACATCTGTTTGTGTGTAAGTACATATAGAGGGAGGGAGGGAGAGGGAGAGACGGGGACAGGGAGATTAAATTTGACTAGGCCTTTTTGAATAAAGAAAATTTGATCATTGTCTTCATACCAGCCTTAAAATGTGGAGGTACTTGCTCAGTGTGATACAACTATCTTATCTGGCCTGCTGTTTCTTAGCTCACCAGTTCAAGCTGTTGAATAACCACAGAGCATTTAATTTCAGATACAGAACTGAGCATCTTTAGGCTTCTAAAAATGCATAGAAATGTGTACTTCAGTAAGTAGAAACATGCTGAAATCAGAAGCATTGGCTATATTCATTCTATACTTGGACTAAACAAAGGTAATGTTAAAAATGACTATTCAATTTGTCCCAGAATTTCCAAATTGTCAAGAAACAGTTCCAGGAACAAAAAGTAATTGTTAAGATGCCCCTTCAGTTTGTCATAAAATGTACTTTACACGCTATCTAAGGAAAGTTATTCCGTTGGGTAAAAAATAATAGAATCCTTCTTCTAAAAATCAACACCTTAGAACCAAGATATTTGGCTCTACTCATTTGGACATGAATAAGATACTGGTTTCTTCTCTGCTTACAGAAGGAAAGGTAATACTAGGAAGATAGCGTTTCCATACTATTATTCCAAACAATTACATAAATAAGTGTTCAGACTATACTTACTGCATTTCATTGGCTCTGAAGCTGGAAGATCATTGTGCTAAAGAACACAAGTTTCTTCCCAGCCTGCCATATTTGCTCAGAAAACACTAGAGCACATGTGGGAGGAAAACTGGAGAAAAGCAATTTTACTGCATATTAGATGAAAACCAATGTTTACAGATCTCCACATCTATAGCTATGGAAATTGTATACTGTATGTGTACACATCTAAAGTGTCATCTGATTCTTATCCTAAAAAATACAACATATACCCTGCTGATAATTATACTGTATTCTGTTAGGGTTCCAGAGGAGTGTGGATAAATCTTTGTGTAGTTAGAACTACAATGTCACTTTGGCTCCGAGTATAGCAATAGCAGTAGCACTTAGACTTATATACTGCTTCACAGTGCTTTACAGCCTTCTCTAAGCAGTTTACAGGGTCAGCACGTTGCCCCTCACAATCTAGGTCCTCATTTTACCGACCTTGGAAGGATGAAAGGCCTTGAACTGGTGAGAATCGAACTGCTGGCAGTTGGCAGAATTAGCTTGCAATACTACATTCTAACTACTGCACCAGCATGACTCTTACTGTACCACCACAGCTCTAATATACATCTCCAACCCTTTTTCTTTATAATTTTAATGACATTTAGATTTAACATAATGCCTTTTCCACCAAAATGGCTCATTAAACTCAGGATTTACTGTGCTCTTAATATTTAACCCAGATTTCGTATTTTTTTAATTTTTACTTTCATAGTAAGCTCTTCCAAGTCTATCAGTTTTCAGCTAACAAAGCGGTGTTATCTGTATAACTCAAATTGTTACAGTTTTGGCCTAATATTTTGATCCCGTATATTCTCTCTTACAATGCCTACAAAGACAATATCCATCTTTGTTTCCTTTCCTTTCCTATCCTGAAGTAGTCTTTTTCAAATCCAGTTTTTACAATAGCTTCTTGTTCATTGAAAAAGTTTCACAGAATAATCATGCACTCTTGTCATATCAGTTAGCCTTTATAATATCCACAGTGTAGCATGAGCTATAGAATTGTTTTTCAGTCTCTTTTTCTCAAATTTTCTTTTAGATAAATACACTGAATCCTGTTCATTTTTCTTCTACTACTCAGTCATGTATGATTCTTGGAAACCGAGTAAGTCCTGCAGTTTTCTTAGCAAGATTTTCCAGAAATGGTCTGCCATTGCCTCCTTCCTAGAGCTGAGAGAAAATGACTGGCTCAATGTCACCCAGCTGGTTTTGTGCCAGCAGAATTAGAACTCACCATCTCCAAGTTTCTAGACTAATGTCTTATAACCATTGCACTAAACTGCCCCTCATACTCATCTTACAATCTAGCTCTATATTATTCAGGTCCAATATTGTTGGCATAATTGTGCTTTTTATTTTTCTAGGTTTGTCCTGTATATTTCGATACCAATATTCATGGTTTCCATAATCTGTACCTGAAAGTGTCTTGGCTGCCTGAACTGCACTTCTCCATCTTCTGTTTCTTATTATATAGTTGATTTGATTCTGATGTTGTGTATGTATTGATGTCATTATAAAGCCTATGTTTATGTTGCTTTGGTATTAGCACTGCCAATATCTTTTGAAACATATTGATTTATCTCTTATATACTTTATTTACACAATCCAACTCTTCCTGTGAATCCAGATTTCTACCATTGCATCTATAACACTCATATATTTTTTATGGAACATTGGTATTTATTGTACAGCCACTAACTGTAATAGATGTA